GACTCGCCGACCGACAGCAGCGCCCGGGGCCGCCTTGGGCCCCAGGCTAGACGTCACTGCGGGGCGGTAAATCAGGGTTCGGATGTAGTAGTATGCAAGGGCCTGGATACCTGGTTAGCACCGGTGGAGCACCGACGCGGTATCGGATTTTGCAGTGTCCGCTAACTTACAAGGATAGGGGACCGGCTGCCTGTCACGTCGGTCGAGGGCTTGTCCTGCTTGAAGGTGAGTTTGAGGTGCTGGGGCAGGTTGTTGTACCACTCGTCCAGCTCAGCCTCGAGAGCGGACATTTGCTGGAGAGACAGGTCGTGCGAGGTGGCCGAAGGGTAAATCTTCTCGAGCACCTTTGCGAGCACTCGGGATCCCCGGAAGAGGGCGAGCGCGTTGGACAAACGGGTCGCCTCGCCAGGAAGGCTCGGCTGGAACCCCTTCTCCGTGACGTATTCGTCGTCTGTGTCGGATGGGAACTCGCAGTGGATGTCCTCTTCCTTGAGGAGCTTGGGGAGGCCGAGCAGGGCAGCAGAGAAGCTATGACCGGTCAGTGACGTGCTTGTGAGCGAATTGAAAGACGGATGAACATACCAATCAAGCATATAAAGCGACCAAAAGACCTTCTTACGGGTCTCGATTGTCAAGACACCAAACGAGAACCGTTTCTGGCTCTGGTGGAGTCCCAACCGGTGCGACAAACCAACAGCAATGCCCTTGTAGTGCTGGAGCCTCTTGTAGTCAGCCCGAATGGTGCAGTACATGAGAGCAAGCAACAGGCACTGAAGCGTCACCATGGTATTATCCATGAGAATCGCCTCGAGGGCCCGCTGCCACTGCTGCTCACACGCCGCGATCTGCTCGAGATCTGGTTGTTCACTCGACAGCGCGGCGATCGCAAAGACCAAGTACAGCTGCGCAAGCTTGTGGTTGTTCTTGATCTTATCCGGGTCCGCCACAAACTCCTCGTAGACGCGAAGAAAAGTCGGCTTGTGGAGGACCGGGAAAAGGGGCGACCACTCCTGGAAGTAAACATTGACGCAGCGGTCGGTGAACAACCGTGGAGGAACCCTCATCTGCGGCGATGGTTGTTTTTGTGCGAGAGGATAGCACCCCTGGATGTGCAAAAACGCTTCTGGATTGAAATCGGCACACGACTTGCCATTCTCCTGCATCTTCCTCTTGCATGATTCTGGATGGCATGTTAGCAAAACATGGCAAGAAAGCGAGTCTGCTCAAAGACGGCGACAAACCAATGAAGCTCCGCCCGCTCGACGCGCCCATGAAGTACGAATCCGAATTCTCAACACCGAGCAGCAACGGCGAGGCCTGAACACGGAAGGTATCTTCCCTTGGTGGTGGGCTAGACTCCAGTCTCACACTAGTTGGCGGTGGTGATCTATGTGGTGATTCCGCCGGTGACCGTCGGTTGCTGTGCATCTTGGACAACATGTCGATCTTCTCATCCTTCTCGTCCAACAGATCCTTCAACTCCCTAACCTCCGACTCCAAGGCGCGGACGCGCTCCTCGAGCGACTCGGTGTAGCCTCTTGGAAAGGCACGACGGCTGAGCTTGTCGCTGGTGCGGCATTCAAAGCCAACATTGGCGCACTGCGAGCAGCAAGGGCGAATGCCATCGCAGCGAATCTTCTTGCTGCGGCATCTGTCGCAGGCCTGGGCGATACGGCTCTGGGAGCTCGTGCCCACCTTGATGACCTTCATAGGCAGAATTCCTGGCATTTTGGCGGTCTTGTTGATTGCTTGCTGTCTGTGTTTTGGTCGACAAAAAATAACCCCTGAATTCGTTTGCTTCTTCTTTTCGTTCTTTCTTCCTTCAACAACAAAAATAAATAGCCTATCGATATCCTCTCATTCGCACAGTGATACCGTTACACAACAAAAAAAAAACGTCGCGGTATGATTTTTTTTTTTTGCTGAGAGTAGAAGTGGTGGTGGCGGTGGTATCGGGCTGCGGGCGGCGCGGAATGGCTGAACGGGAGATGCGGGCGATGCGATCAGTAGCAGGGTAGACCTCACCAGCTGTCTCGGACCCCGTGGCTTTGTCGTCGTAGTGCAGGTGTCTCGTTTACCATGGACTGACTGATGGATGGACCAGACAAAAGATTTTGAATTCTAGAGTAAAAAGAGGCAAATCTATATTCGAGAGGGGGGAATTGGGAAACGTGACAGGCGGGGCGGGTGGGTTTAATATGAATGACAACATGCCCTGCCCAGAGTCGGAACGGGGGATGATAAGCCAGGACGAGTGTGTGTGCCCGGGAGGTGAGGGAAAAAAGGGAAAGGCGCCGTGGACAGCCAAGCTGCAGGCCCTCGTCCGCTGGCACGTTGGGGACTTCGGCCCACGCGGAGTCTGGTCTCTCTGGCTCTGGTCGACCTTGGCCCAGTCCAAATGCGATTGAATCTGCGGAGAAAAAATGGAAACGGTCGGTCAGCACTCGCAACCGGGCGCACCCTTGGCCGGAGCGGCGTGGCAGGGTTGTAGGGGTTGGAAATCCAGACAAATCATTGGATGGCTGGCCTGCCAACGTCGCCCAGCCCTCAAAGCCCCAATCACGGTCCAGCAGGACATGGAGGGGAATCCGGGGTGAGCAGGGGGGATGGGGGGTTGCTCACTGGGGGTTGCTCACTGGGGGGAGGCTATTGCGTTAGCTGAGAGTTAACGGGCTAGCACTGCTCCGTACTGAGTCTGGGGAAACAGATTCCCCTGTTCCTGATGACCACACCCACTCGAAAGTGCCAGACCAGAAAATGGCACCACCCTCTTCTGTCACTCGCTGTGTCGGCCACGGGGCTAGATCCGTTCAAACTCGTCATTTCAATGCTCGAGAAGGGCTCAGATAGGCCACCCAGGTGATGATGGCATCATGGAGAAGCGTGTCCATGGTACGCTTACCGTCAGCCCAGAAACCGGGGCCTTCTCCGTCCTGCATCACGAGGACGCCGCATGGCAAAATGGTAAGCAGCTCTGGCAGGTTCCGGGGTAAGTGATGGGCAATGGCAAAACCATGGCCACCGAAAACAATGCGCGGCATGGACGGTGAACACAGCTCCCAAGACTTTGCCAACCACGCCCTAACAACCTTTCTGCCACTTTCCAACTGGCTGTCCTTTGCTACTTTGAGGCTAACGTCGGCCACTCTCACTGGCAGAGACTGGAAAACGCTGGCGATCACCACTGCAACTGTTGATGAGCACTTCGGCAGACCAAAAGTTGGAAAGTGGGACGCCTTCTCTTGGCAGACACAACCCGCCGTTGCGAAGTTCCTGGGCGTTGCGACGATGGGATACTACCGACCAGGTTTCTGTGCAGTTGCCAGACTGTTTGTTGGGACAAGTGCGAGAGAGCAGGCGGACCTCGTCACGATCGCTGTCGTCTGTGTGACCAGCCTCGTCAAGCTCATCATAACGACGACAGCATGCGTGATGACAGCTATGGCCACACAGCATCAGCATGCAATACTGCAAGCAGCTTCGCTCTTTGCCACCCGAGGCGGTGATCAAAAGGCCACGGTGAACGGTGACCAAGTCTGTGTGCCTGTTAATATCAGCACAAGATGTCCGAAAGAGGGGATTATTATCCTGGAGACATAGGACTTGTGTGTCGTAGCCAAGTACGAATACCCCAAACCAATCCCAAATACCTATGCCTTGAAAACAGAAGCCTTGAATCTCCCCCCGCTTTGGAACTTGACAGATGAGCTTCTTCTCAGGTTGAAACAGCGATGATCAAGTCTCTTTCCAAACGATCAGCCGGCAAACACTCCATGGTTAACCCTGCCGGGCTTGTTTCATTCGAATGATGGAATTGGATAACAGGTCGGCGATATATCTTCAAGTCGGTCGATTGTACAACAACCGCTTACATACATTTTAACAATCCCCAACTAGCGCATTAAGAAGCTTTCTGTTTGAACCATTCCATTCGGCGCTTCGGTTTAAACGTCATCCCCACACTAACAAAAAGAACCCCAAGGCTGAGGGAGCATCAAAGCCGTTACAGGTCCGGTTCTTCGCGAGGGTCCCAAGATTTCCCCGCATTTGGGGGATAGTTGTGGCCTTCTTTTTGAGATCGACTTTCCGGCAAAATACCCCATGTCGTGTGGAGATTGTTTTTTCTTATGGCAGGCGGCTGCATTCGACCCTTGAGTGTGTCAATAAATTGAAGCCAAAGGTGCCTTGCTGTAGAAAATGCGTCCGATTTTTCCAGAAGCTCTCCTGCCGTGTCCTCACCGGGGTGACAGGGCCGAACCACGCCTGCTGTGCATGACAAGAGTCCTGACCGCCAGGCACACCTTGTTGATAGCGGCGGTTGGGGGCTGGTGTTGAGCTTGTCTTTTTGGTAGCGTTGTTCTGGCTGTTGTCGCTTCCAAAATCCTTCCAAGAATAACCAGAGCTTTCTATAGCGTCCGTGAACTGTCGGGATGCTGAATCCGAGATTAGAACCTATGCCGAGTTTGCTGAAGAGACCTTAGCCAAGCTGCATCTGAGACAATGAGGAACCTTTTGCCTTGTTAGTCAATGTAGTCCCTCTAGGCTGACTCTCGCCAACTCCGTAGAGGTAGCGATCTGCGCAATAGCTCAAGCAGCTCTGCATTCTGTGCAAAAAAGAAAGCGGCATATGTGGAAAGAATTTGTCAAAAAGTGAACCATGCTGAGATTGGTGCGGTAAGGCCGCGTCTCAAGAAGCCAAAACCATTCTACGGCGGTTGACATACGAATGTTGCAGAGGCCACACACCACTCAGAAAGAAGCAGGAGGATGATGTACGTCTGCAACCATTAGCTGAAGTCGTCGGCCTCATTGGACGCCTCTTCGCCGACTAGGTCCGAATTGGAAGTCTCCATCGATCCGAGATAAGCCACCACGTTTTCGGCTTCCAGTAGCGAGTTTTTCTGCATGACCGTGTTAGCAGCTGCCCCGATTGGTTACCATAGCCGGTGAGCTTGGCTCTCCCAGACCACCATCACCACCATGTTGCAGGTAGGGAAGCAATGAGACGCACCTCTTGTTCCAACGCTTGGATGGCATCTTCCAATAGACTCGTTTCGATCTGTCGGAGCAGCAGACCATGCTTGAGACATTCTTCTCTGACTGTCGAAGAGTCGTGGCGGGGAAGCTCCGACTTGAGCTGCTCAAGATGGATCTCAAGGTTCTCCTGAACTGAGACGGCAACTCGAAGTCTGAGGACTTCGGGGAGGGGGTGAGTTTGGGCTACTAGTTTTTGGAACTCGGAAATCTGATCTGTAACGTCTTCATCTTGCCAGAAAACGCGCAGCTGCTGGTTTCCCTCGTTGTCCTGCAGGATGCGAAAGTCCAGGCCGTCCTCCTCGTTGACACACTTGAGATATGCAAAATTGCTGTCCCACCGGATGCTGCCGCTCTCCCGAGCCACGTGGACTTTGGGCGCTTTCCCAAACGCGACAAGCTTCGCCTTGGCCAATGGGTCGTCGGGAAAGGGTGCCAGAGGGAGTACCAGGCTCTCGGACGTCGATTCGGGGTCGATGAAGCCGTAGCTAAAGAGCATCTCAGCTGCAGACTTGGTGTCGCCGTAACTGATGGTTACTTCCTGACCCTTGGACATGCTCGCTCCCGGGCGAAGTAACAGTACTGCCTCGTAGTCGGAGTTTTGGTCGTAGTAGGCACTTGGGTCGGACGAATGGTTGATCATGTCGATGCAGGGGACCATTGACTCTCCGGATTTGGGAAGCTCCAGGCATCTTGATCGATAGAGGGCGTCGAGATGCACCCAGTCTTTGAGCGAGACGGCGCCACTGTGCCAAAGAAGGCCGTTCCAGTAAGGGATATCAGACGAGGCTTCTCGGATCATTTCAAACTCATTGTCGAGGGCTCTGAGTTTTGCTCCCACAGCCACCTCCAGTGAGGTGCCTTTCAACAGTGGCCTTTCGTCCTCGGTCCAGACGGTAGGCAGCAAGACTGTCTTGGGCAGGAACTGCAAGTACTGAGTCCATGGATTGGAAACACCCACATGGGCGTGACTGGAGTTCCGCGCTAACTGAACAAGCAGGAAGAGCAGAACGTTGACGCGGGGTGGCTACGTTATTGTCAGCCGTCTGTGTCAGAAGGTCAAGTTTTGGGGATCACGGTTACATGGTGTCCGACGGCTTCTAGGAGCTGTTTGAACTCTTTGTCTTCTTTTGCGTGTTCCTCGACAGCCAGAGAGTTGAGGATGAGGTCGTGAGGGACGGCGAGCAGCTGTGGGGTCTCGACGGTGCCTTCAGGGGCAGCGAGGTCCTTTTGGCTGACCACGCCGTATCCCTTGTCCACGGTGGTGGTTACCTCGACATTGTCGAAGGAGACATCGTTGAGGCGGGCCCAGGCAGGAAGATCTTGTATCGGGAGGGCCATGGCGGGTTTTTGTTTGTTTAGTTCTCAAGCTTGTGATTGTGCTGACCAACAGCCTTGATTGCCGGTTGGTCTAAGAATGACCGACTCCACTGGACTTGAAACAAATGCAGTTACTCTCGCTCGAATGTGCCTTTCCTCGGTCGATGCCGGTATTGGTGATCGCTTCCTTCCGCCAAATTATTACCCGCTCAAATGCAATAGAATTCAGTAAACATTCGAAACTCTTAAATTGGTCATGACGGTGTATGCTCTTAGATTGTCCGTTTGCTGGTGGGACCTACAGATCAACCTTCTCGAGGACCTATGGGGCTGGCGATAGTCAGCAGTCTGTTCTGTGAAGGTTACCCACTGGACTCAAAAACATCAACTATTCAATTGATGCTTCTCATAGGCTGAACAAACCTCAGACATGCCATGTGTGAAGGTGACATTGAATTTCAATCCCGAGACACCACGATTGTGCCCCTCCACGGCCCGTTATCGTTATCAACGACTGCGGGGCAGATATTTTCAACCAAGGACACTCAATCGCACGCAACGACATTCGCGGCGCAAACCACCTCGCGCCCGCTCACCTCTCAATACCGGCCCCATCTCCTGATATATACCCTAAATACGAAACCTCCCTCCCACCAGATTTGACAAACGTCCACCATGCCTCGAGACCCCCTCATCGGCCTCGTGGGCAAGCCCAGCGCCGGCAAATCAAGCACCCTCAACTCCCTCACAGATGCCTCCTCCAAAGTTGGTGGGTAGAGACAGAACAAAACAAACCCTTGCTTTCCCAAGCTCCAGAGGCTGATACCGCCGTAGGAAACTTCCCGTACGACCTCTCTCTCTCTCCCTCCCAATCTCTCTCCCATAACTAACCCCCAACTCGCCCACTAGCTTCACAACCATAGACCCCCAACGCGCAATAGGCTACCTCCAAATTGACTGCGCCTGCACCCGCTACAACCTAACCGACAAATGCAAGCCAAACTACGGCTCCTGCGACAACGGCCGCCGCTCCGTCCCCATCGAGCTCCTCGACGTAGCCGGTCTCGTCCCCGGCGCGCACGAAGGCAAAGGCCTCGGTAACAAATTCCTCGACGACCTCCGCCACGCCGACGCCCTCATCCACGTCGTCGACGCCTCGGGCACCACCGATGCAGAAGGCAAAGTAACCCGGGGCTACGACCCCTCCGTCGACATCGCCTGGTTACGAAGCGAGATTGTAGCCTGGATCAGGGGGAATCTCATGACGAAATGGGGAAGCATCAAAAGAAGACACATCGCCGTCAAGGCGACCGCAGTAGAAACCCTACAGAACCAGTTCTCCGGGTACGGGAGTACGAGCGCTGTGGTGGCAAGAACGTTGGATAAGTTGGGACTGAAGGAGCCATTGGAGGAGTGGAGTGGTTTGTTCCCCCCCCCCCCCCCCTTTGTTTTTTTTTCCTTTTTTTCCTCCTCCTTTCTAATATGGCAATAGATGAAACCATCGACCGCGTGGTAAACGCTTTTACAGATGAGAAATTCCCCACCGTCATCGCCCTCAACAAAATCGACCACCCCGATGCGGACAAGAACATTGCCAAAATCGCCAAGCAGCAAGACCCCAATTCGATCGTGCTCTGCTCGGCCATTTCGGAGATTTTTCTCAGGAAGATGGCCAAGCAAGGCTATATCCGCTACACGGAAGGATCAGAGTTTGTCGACACGAGAGAGGACTTGATAGCAGATGGGGATCCGGACGGTGGTGGGCTTAAAGAGCTCGACGAGAAGAACAGGAACAGGATAGAGAACCTCAAGGATATGGTTCTCTACCGGTTTGGGTCTACGGGCGTGGTGCATGTCCTGACGAAGGCGGCCGAGATTCTGGGGCTTGTGCCGGTTTTTCCGGTGAGGAATATTGCTACCTTTGGGTCGGGGGGTGTGGGGGAGGGGATGGGGAGTAATAAGGGGGTGTTTAGGGATTGTGTGCTGGTGAAGAAGGGGTCGACGGTGGGGGATGTGGCGAGGAAGGTGATGGGGGATGCGCCGATTGCGTATATTGAGGGGGCTGGGGGGTTGAGGGTTGCGGAGGATCAGTTGGTGGCGGTTGGGAAGAACGATGTGAGTTGCTTTGTTGCGGTGCTTTTTGATTCGGGAGAGGTGCGGTGGGTTGCTAACGGTTTCTTAGATTTTGTCTTTCAAGGTTGGTAAGTAGATCGGGTGCATGGCATACAGAGCGGAGTATCATACAGGGAGGATATTGAGACGAGTGGGTGGTATCTTGACGCTACGGCGACGATTCCATGGAACTGTTAGATGGGGCTGAGAGCGTTGTGATCTGCGACTATGGAATTCATATATTCTACAGGCGTACTACGAGTCCTTGCGGCAGGATAGGTAGATCGGGATGGTGTTGGAATATAAATGTATAACAGCAGGCATAGCGAATTGCCAATGTTGGTTGCAACCGGTTGATGCTAGTTATAGGACTTATTCACATTCACCTCTCTTTGAGACTCTGGGCCTGCGAGTTATGAGATACCAGCGACCATATCAGCCTTTCCAGATCTGATTATCAGAGGCAGCAATGTTATATACCCCGTCTGGCCCCTTGTTCAGTTTGATGCTGAGGTTTATCGCCCCTGTAGAAAAACAAGACAAATTATCGACATAGGAAAGGTGGGTTATGTAAGACACTGTCACTATATAACAGGGAGTATGTGAGGTTGTGAGTAAGAGTATAGGGGAGAAAGAGATAGCGAGAACTTATGACGACGGGAAACCATGTTTTGAATGGACCAGTTTGGCAAGATAATAACACTTGCTATATACATAGTCGAAAATTCCATCAAAACTTTTGGCTGGGCTGTGATGTTGTCAGAGCTCTCTGTAAACATACGAGACCGATATCAATCCGGAACGTCATGGACCGCCCGTCTAAACATGTGAGTCACTGCGAACAAGTTTATTCAACATTCACGAAATCACGAGACGATAATATCTTCAATTCTCAAAACAACGGGTATCGTGAGTTATTACAACCACCACTTCCTTTCCTCCTCGCCTTTCTTCCTTCCCAAGCTAGCAATTACTTGAGTAAACCCTCGCTCAGAAAACTGAAAACAACAAAAAAACAAGAGCCGTAAAGTCATTATCCACTCCTTGTTCCAAAGAACAAAAATTAACGGTCCCCGGATTCCGCACCGTTCCCACTGCCGTTGATACCACCACCGGTAGTCCCGATCTTAGAAATTGTCATACCATCGATTGCCGAGGTTTCTTGGCGCTGAAGCTAGGGGTAGCTCAGCCCACCGAACAAAAGATAGCGGGGTCGTGCGGCGGTTGGTAAGGTGCGCAAGGGCGGTCAGCGTCAGCGGCGCAGGCTTGGAGAAAGCGCAATTAAGTCATTGGTTTTCTTCCGCCCATCTTCCCGTCGGTCCCCTCCTCCTCCACCGCCCAACCTCATTTTTCTTCCCCGACGGTGAGTTTTGCGTTGCTATCGGTGAGAATTCAGTTGGGCGGTTTTTGTGTGAGGGGACGAGACTAGTATTTGCAAATGATGTAGAGGGCGTGGACGATGCCGGGGATGTACTGGATTTATGTTAGTGGGATAGAAAAAGATCGAAGGTGAAGAAAGGGCACATACACCAAGGATCGTCAAGAGGAGGTTGATCAAGAGGTCAGCACCGCAGCCGCGCTCGAGGAAAACTCCAAGAGGAGGGAGCAAGACGGCGAAGATGATCTTGCAGATGTCAGAACCGGTGAAAGGCATGTTGATGGTGTTGTTTGTTTGAGTTGTGTGTAAAACTGGTAGGTGTAGATGGTATCGATATTTGTTGATCGAAAACGGTTCGTTCTGTGATTGTTGGTATGTGTTGGGGTATGAAGAAACAAAGAGAGAGGACCCGAAAAGCAAAATCCAGGTCAGGTCAGGTTAGTTAAATACCTTTCATACGTCAGGCGACAGCACCAGCCCGGGCAGCCACCCCAGCAAGGAAACTGGGGACCTGGTCCAACTCTACCTTCCCGCAGCACACCAGGGCAGCGCACCGTTGATCGATCTCATGCCATGGCTGGCTTTACCGCCTGCCAAGGCCCAAGTCCACTCTTGACCCACGAGCGGGTCCCTTTGCCTTGAAGCTTTCCCGTGCCGTAACCCGTGTGCCCGTTGCGGTGAGAGGTCACCTTTTTTCAAAGGTAGGTCATAAGATGCTGTGGTGTGTACACAGCCTGGTGTGCTTGCTCGCCGGCAACCTCAACTGGAATTCTTCTATCCAGGTTTCACTATACGCGTCATACACAAACCATCACCGTTCTTCCAGCAGAAAATACACTACCCAAACCTTGGATTCCACCATCGCCTTCGGGAAGCCCCCCAAGACGGTTGAACCGGCACCGCCCAACCCACCCGGCACCAAAAACCCGTCTTGACGCCGTCGACTTTTCTGCTAATAAAAGAGGGCAGGTTTATGACGTGACAAGGGTCCAAAAGTCCAGAAGCCTTGTGCCGCATATCCAGCTACAGCTCCAGCTCTCTAGGGCTGACAACAGCCAACCACCTCACCTTTCACCATCCTCCCCCCATCAAAAGTACTCTTGACAACATCTATTTTCGTCCCCCGTTTCACATCCCCCCCCCCAGATAATTTCCCCCTCTAACATTCCCCAACAAATCACCATCATCATCGTGTAGTTCCAGCCACCAAACCGCCCCGTCTCACAAAGCTAGCTACCCCGCCAGTTAGTTCAACGTTAAAACAGCAAAACCAACCATCCCAAAATCGCAAAACGTAGTCCAAGGCTTTTGCCCCAGGCGAATTCCCCTCCTTGATATCATAGCTTCCTTGGCCAATTGAATAATGATTGCGCGTTCGCTCGCGATTCTTCAAAGCCTCCCGTCCCCAAGCTTTGGGCACGGACGCGCCGACAACCCCAGTGACGTATGCGCTGGCGCGGGAGGCAGCCACAAGTGGTTGCATGTGCCCATGACATCACTTGATCAGCTAAAAGATTAGGTGTGGCGCAGTGGCTTGGTCGGGCGAGAAGAACACGACGAGAGTGTGGCGCATTATGTGGATAGTGCAGTGTGTACGTAAGATGTGGCTCTCTCTCCATATCACGAGAAGAATCACGAGGTTGAGAGTGAGAAATGTCGTTGAGAGGTGAAGATTTCAGATGAAATCACAGAATATGAGGGTTAGGGTTGTCCCAAGAGACATGATGTCAAACGTGGGTTAGGGTTGTCGAGCAGCCACATAAACCAACCATTGTACCTTTTAGTTTCACCTCGAGTCCCATTCTTAGTATCACCAAAAATACTAACCGTGGCTTAACTACTCCGGTCATATGGAAATTCATCTTTTTTTTTCCCTATTTGTCTACAATTACCCTTCCTCCCAATGGTCTCTTTCCCAGCCGATCAACAACCTCAACCCGACACTTCAACCATCCATGTCACGCTAACAACCTCAGACAGGACTCTACCAATTCCACCTCCCCGCATCCTCCCTCAACCTAAACTCAACACACGTCCCCAAGTCCGGAATCAACACATCATACATACTCGTATTCCCCGGCCTCTCCTTCTTCCCCCCGGGGAACTGCAAGTCATATCTCAACAGAATGTTCGCCGCAATCATCTTCATCGAGTGATCAGCAAAAAACCTCCCCGGGCACACAATCTTGCCGTGACCGAAATGGAGGTTGTTGTCAGCAGTAGTAGTAAACCGGTGGATCTTCTCCTGGCCTGGGAGCTTCCGCTTGTTGTACTGGCGCAAACCATCAAACTTCTCGGGGTCGGGGCCGTTCTTCTCCGGGTCCATGCCGATGGCGTAGGTGGCCATTTGGATGTGGCAGCCGTTGGGGAGAACGACACCGTCGTGGAGGACGATGTCGGAGCGGACTATGGCGTTGAAGCCCACTGAGGCGGTGTCAGTCTCAGTTGATCATGGATTGAATAGGGAAAAAGAGACTTACAAAGAGTAGGCGGACTGAGCCTCTGCGACTCACGCATAAAGCTGTCCAGCTTCTTCATCTCGGCCAGGGCGGTGTGAGTAAACCCGTTGTGTTCAGTCAAGACTTGGATAATCTCCTCCCTCAGCACCTCGACGTACTCGCTGTGCACGCAGAGATCAAACAGGAGCTGGGCCACGGCAATGATGGTGGACGGGCCGGAACCGAGATACGTCACCATCAATCTCTGGACGGTGATCTCGTCGCTATCGCCTTCGGCAATGCCGCCGTCCATGAGGTACTGCAAGAAGTCCTCTGGCTTCTTATAGTCAGGATCCTTTTCGAGGACGCGACGCTTCTGGATGAGGGGGATGAGCATCTTTCTGGCCTTGCGGAGTGCGGCGTCAACACCCCATGAAGTTGGAGAGAACTGGGCGGCAATCGGCTTGAAAAAGTCGGGGAAGAGACGGAGGGCAAAATTGTGCTTGAAACCGTGTTCCGAGTAGTTGATGGCGGTCTGGATATACTCTTCGTTCTCCTTGAGCTCGTCGACGAACTGGGTGGCTACTCCGCGGTGGACCATTCTCCTGGCCAAGTGAAGGGCGTTGATGCTGGTCCATTCTGTGGTGGAATTCGCAGGGAGTTCGACGGGAAGGTACTTCTTGAACTGCTCCTGGACTGCCGGCACTTGGAGACCCAGTCTGGGGGTGAGACGAGCATTGAGCATGCGAGTTTGGAGACTGTGGTCGGTGATGACATTGGTGATGGAGTGGAGGCGCTGGAAGGCGTCCACGATGGCGGTGTTGAGAGAGAGCTTCTCAGGGGGCATGGAGGCCAGCTCCTGGAGGTACTTGTTGGGGACGATCAGCAGATCATTGCCCGATACCTTGAAGAAGGTGTCTTTGTACTTGGCATAGCCCTCGGCGATGTACTTTGGGCCATTGCGGAAGAAGGCTAGACGGCCCAGGACAGCATTTTTGGGACCGATGATGGGGGCATCGAAGTTGTAATTGCCGTCGATGAAGTCCCGGGAGGCCTTTGCCTTGGTGATTGCCCACCAGTACCAGAGTGTGAGGCCACAGAGGATGGCAGTTGCAATGGAAGATGAGAATTGGAAGGTGGAGGAGTCAATGCCCCCGGTGGGCAGTGATCTACCCTCTGGGAGTACACTGGCGAAGGACCTGTTGACGATATCCATGGTGCTGACGATTTGCCCGGCAAGAAGATGTCAGGGTTGGAAAGGAACGAGACACTTCCGAAGGGGCCGAAATTTATGTTTAAAAGGAGGCAGGTGGCACCATGGCTCACACCAGATTCTCCCGCCGGAGCATAGCAATCATGTCATCCAACAACACTCTTTGCAGCCCGGAATAAGGCCCACGAGAACCCCGGGCGCATCCGCCGACCTGTTTCCGCCTATCAGTCACAGCAGCTGGATGACCCGAGCCATGTGCTTCTATTTACTGGTGCGAAGCAAGGCGACGGCGAGATGGAGAATCCACACACCTATCGGTGCATGTGCGGCTCAGTCTGCTGCAACACACACCCCTCGTTTCGGACTGTCCTCTCGACCTCGTGGGAGTGGTGACATTGCACGTTTGCATGTGCCACGCCGCTTCCCGCTTCAACCATCCATCCTGTAATACGGATTTGGATATATTTCTACATTGCCGGATGCTGGGACGTTGCATATGGCGAGCTCTCGATGCGGTGTTCTGCACGTAGCTAACACCCAACCACCACAAGCTTTGACGCCAACACCGAGTTTATACTTGAATCTCTTGCATATCACCTACTTATCCCCCACCTGGCATTGCCTGCCACTCTTTTGCATGCTCAGCGACCTGACCTAGCTACACAGCCTACCACGATCACTAACACAAGCTTTCAGGTGAATGCTGTGATACCCATCAACCGGGTGTCACACCTCGTGGGTTTATGCTCATTCCCATGAGCTCGGTCAGTTGACGCAGATCGAGCCAAAGTTCGACATCGACGGAGCACCACAAACACTGCCAGCTTCTGTGTGCCTTCCAGCCGCGGACATGGCTGCATAAAGCGGCCGCAACCCCAAACCTTTCTGGCCAGGACTATTGGCAATGTGCATAAGTGTCTAGATCCTACGGCGCAGCCCCTCATTTGGTTGTGTAGTGTACTGTACGTACGAGCTCTTTCTTCATCAGGGAACCCTCCCCGAGGGACGATGTCTAGAGCAAACCACACTAATAAAGAAGATCTTACGGTAAGTGGGGAACGAGCGAGGACCTACATACCTTTGTATATCCGTGTGTGGGCTTTTTGTGTGCATCCATCAACGTCAAGGTCGCACTGGGAATTTGATATAAAAATCAAATAACGCAGGCACAGCCCGCGGCACAGCAATCTATGCGGGACAAGGCCTTCAATGAGAACGTGGCATTACAGGAACACAGTCCGAAAACACGTAGGGATACTGGCTTATCAGCTTGTTGACGCTCGGCTTAATGGGAATAAAGGGAATCGTCGCCCCCACCGACCTTGTTTATGGGCCATGAGGAATCAAGTCCCCAGTGTGGTGTCACCAATCGTGGGAGGAAGAGGCTCTATGATACGCAGGATATATCCGGAACTTTCCAGGTTGCTGGCTTGGCCAAAACGGATGTTCCCCCGCGTCTCCAGGGTTGGATCCGGTTCCCAGTGTAAGCGCTTGCGTACGGAATTTCTGCACAAAGCCAAGCTGGGAGAAGCTTTTGAAGGATTCCACGGACTCCGCTGCTCGTTCTCGGTCTTACTTATATGTGGACCTCAGGATTTGGGCGAGCTTAGCGAAGTGTGGATGGAAAAGAAAAAGGCAGGCAGGTTTTTGCTATCTGCAGTCATGTCATGCTCTTGCTGTCTTGGGTCATGCAAGCGATGGGACTGCCTTGGTTGATGATGGAGAGGGGGGGGCCAAATTGCCAATAGCTGCTGTGCCGCAGCGAGGCGGGGAGCATGTTATCCTCGGGCATCCAATGTTTGATTTTCGAGCCCCTCCATGTGAGGAACTGGTCCGGGACACACATGTATGTGGGCTCGAGCGGTCAGTCAATCCTGATCCCTCTTCAAAGGTAGGTTGGGATACACGGACAGGCAGTTACACTCAGCTAGCTGTCAAGCTTCTTTGTGGTTCCCGTCCTCTCGTTCCAGTAAGACTTCTCTTTCCCGGTGGGCGTGTGTTGTGTCCTGCCGTGCAACGACGATCAACATGATCAACATGATTACAACCATACTCTACGCTCTCCTCGCCGTGGTCTCGCTCGCTTATCTAGCAGATTACCTGCTCGCCTGGAACGACGACCCAAAGGAACCTCCCCGCCTGCGGGCGAGGATACCGCTGATTGGACACCTCATCGGCATCATCGTCAGCGGTCCTTCCTACCACAGCGTCATCCGCAATGATGAAACCACCGAGATTTACACGCTCGGGATCCTCAATTACAAACTCTACACCTCCGTGTCCACCCGGCTGCTGCCGTTGATCCAACGCCAGAGCAGGGCCCTTTCGTTCCGGCCAATGATCCAGACGGTGGCTAGAAAATGGGGTGACGCAAATGATGAGACTGACAGGTTGTTTCGTGAGACTGATCTCATTACTGAGTTTAGCCATGTCATGAAGACGAGTCTGGCTCCCGGGCCGCAGCTGGATGAGATGAATATGAGGATGGCACAACGGGCACTGGTTGATTTGGATCTCTTGCTTGGGGATGGGAAAGATAAAAAAATCAAACTGCTCGAGTGGGCGAGGTTTGCTATCACGCAGGCGAGTAGCTGTGGTGTTTATGGGAATCAACACCCGTTTCTCGATGACAAGGTTTATGAAGCTTTTTGGTACACACCTAACCCCCCCCCCTTCTCCCTCCCTCGTCAACCCTTGCTGACATCCTCCCCCCCCCAGGGCCTGGCACGCCCACCTATCAGCCCACATCTCAGGAATCAATTTTGACATCCTCTCCCACGGCTACCATGCCCGAGCCGTCGTCTTTGCCGCCCACGCAAAATACTGCACCTCCATCCCCCCGGACACCTCCTCCCTCTTCCTCTCCCGCTGGCAGTGCCTCCTCTCCTCTGGCCTTTCCGTGTCAGAAGCCTCCAAACAACAAGCCACACTCCCAATAGGAATGCTCTCCAACACAGTCCCGACCTTTTTCTGGACCATCTACGAGATTTTTTCCCGGCCTGCTCTTTTGTCCTCGATCCGCTCCGAAATCCTCACTTTTGCCATCACCACCTCCGGCCCTCGTCACATCCTCAACCTGACCAACCTCAAAACCTCGTGCCCGCTCCTCCTCTCCACCTTTCAAGAAACCCAACGGACAAGACACATCCACGCCGCCATCCGGAAAGTCACAACCAACACTCTTTTGGACAGCGGCAAGGTTTTGCTGAAGGAAGGGAACTACCTCCAGATGCCAGGCCACGCAATCCACTACTCCCAATCCACCTACGGCCCGACCGCTCGAGATTTCGTTCCTGAGCGGTTCATGGATCCAAATCTCAAAAGGGGCGGTGCGGATTTTCTTGCTTGGGGCGCCCCGCCGCATCTCTGTCCTGCGAGGCAGTTCGCCGCGACGGAGATATTGATTTTGGTGGCTATGCTGGTTGTCAGGACTGATATCCACCCTGCTGAGGGGACAGAGTGGGAGGAGAAGCCGGAGTTGGAGTTTGCTGATCCGGTTACTGTTTTAAATCCCAAGCGGGATGTGGAGGTCGTGGTTAGGGTTAGGGGAGAGAAGGAAGGGAGGTGGGAGGTTGAGATGGGGGATGGTAGTAGGGCGAGTAGGGTGCCGCTGGCGTCTGGTTGAAAATGGGATTGGGGGGGGGGGGGGTGCGTGGTGAGGGGTTTTCAAAACAACTGATCGATATAGGGATACCACTAGATAGATATTACCTTATCCTACATATGTCAAATTTAAAGTTTTTTCAAGCAGCATGAAACTAGTAGTAGGGTCATACGGTTTTTTTTTTTCTCTTCATTAAAGCCCAAATGTCTACCCAAAACCTATGACATCCATACTGCTAGTCACAACACCGCTCTGCTTTTTCCCTGGCGGTGATCCCCTTGGCAGTGACCGTATCGCTACTAGTGAACGGGGCGTTGTCGGCTGGCTGATATCTGTAGTGGTCACGTCATTGTGGCTTGATATAAAAAACATGTCCCAATGTGGTCGGAAAATGCCTTCGCTGTGTACCCTCTCGAGCCAGAGCACCCTCTTGATGCAAGATAGTGTGTCGGTCCAGCTGCGTAATTGCAACGAAGCTGATGCCGCCCGTGCTCGTTCGGCGAACCACTCGTAGTGAGCCGTGTTGTTGGCGGAGGCTACCAGCCCGACTGCGGCAAGCCAGACGTTGACGTCTTGGTGTGCTGCGAACTCGAATTGCTGCTGCTCGAGGTGTTGCCTCAGGTTGGTGACTAGTTTGTTCATGAGCGCGGCGTGGGAGAAGTAGGTTGGCCCCTGGATGATGAACATGTAGAGAACAATGCCGTAACGGATGCACTCGGTCGCGGGCGATGATACATGGGCCCCAGCGGCGGTGAGCAAGAGACGGTGTACTGCAAAGCATGTGAGGTCGTGCAGTCGTGTGTTGGGGAATGGGGCGGATTGTGCCCGTTCAAAAACGCAGCGAAGGCGTGTGAGAACGTTCTTGACGGGATGGTCGATATTGAGGTTGCCAAGTTGGTCCTCGAGAATGGGCAAGTCCAGCCGCCATTCTGGTATTGGAGGTATGCCGTCTCCAATGCCGGCGTCGTCTTGAGTGTCGAATTGTGGATGGCCCATGACGAGCAGTGATACCCTGGCAGAGTTAGAGGTACGATGTGCTGTGGGTGATGAAGAGAAAAACTCACCAACTGACCATCCTCGCTGTAAGTGGACTCGTTCGCCTTACAAAGCTGATGCCGCCTCGTAGGTCGACCAGTCTCTTGACTCCAGCCACATGCATCTCACTAACCCTCGTGTTGCCTTTCCCAAACTGGCCAGGGCAATTAGCCAATAGGCCCATACAAGTGATGGCAATGGCTCACCTCGATAGCCGCCAGCGTGATAACAGAGTTCATGGTCCCGTCTTGGACTGCAAGAGCCGAGTCTTCGACCTTTCGGCGCAGCAATGCCACTGAATCAGCCATGAGCACCGTCGAAGCCTGAAACCCCCTCTGGGCCAGCAGCTCCTCGTCGAGGCATGCCGTCTGTAGTGAGACGTGAAACAGGGCTGGATCACCGAGCGCTTGGGGCCACCAAGACACCAGAAAGGGGTTCGAGGTTGGGCTGAGATCCAGAGGGTAGTATTGAAAGGCAATCTTGTGGAGAAAGCTGTGAATGAGACGCTGGACGTGGCCTCGGGGCAGTCTGGTCTGCGGGTAGGACTCGAAAGGATCAACAGACGAGAACCTGGTGCCAAGGGGGAGGATGATTGTCTTCTTTTGAGGGGCAGTCAAGGGTTCATTTGCATACAAACACTGGACCTTGCGTTTGACACAGCGGGAGCAGCGGGGAGTGCCAAGATCACAGCTGTGTTTGGACTTTGCGCATGCAGAGCACGACCGCCGGAGCGTGTGGCGCATGGTTGTGAGAGGCAGGGCAAGTCGAACGGGGGAATTGAGCAATCAAAAAAGAGAAGAGAGATCCCAGGCGGTTCGAAAATATCTGTCTGTGGTTTGGTCAGCATGCAATGTGTGCAATGTCCCCCGCGACTTCCCGCGTATATACTGACCAGCAGAATTCCAAAAGAGGACTAGACGCCGCCGACACAGTGCGCAGCTCACCGAACTGTTCAGCCAAACGTCGGCCAAGGAGGGTGAGATAGCGTCCGGCTTGGCATGTGCAACATTCGGAGACTAGTCCTCTTTTGGACACCTCGCTCCTCCTTTCACAGTTCGCAAAGTCGAAGCACAACGTTCCTGCCTTCCAATTTGGAGCCGCCGTTTGTTTCTTTCGAGGGGGACGGTTGTGATTAAGCTGCTGTTATTTTGACTGCCGCGGATGTCCGTCCGCATATAATAAATGAACATGGCGCGCCCATTAATCTTTTCTTCTATTTTCCCTGAAGGTTTTCCCCCGAACCCGCACTTTGCCCCCACCAACCAACTGGGACTTCCTCCAGCAACACCACCGGCAACATGGCTGACCCTGTCAATTCCTCCTCGTATGGCCAGCCTGAGAAGCTGATTCATAACCTGAAGCCATCATCGGTCATTGGGCTTGCAACGAGCTGCCTCAAAGGGTGGGAGACTTGGCAATATGTGGTGACCATTTTTCTCGGTCTGGTGGTCTACGACCAGGTCATGTACATTTATCGCAAAGGATCCATTGCTGGCCCCAGCTTCAAGATTCCCTTCATGGGACCCTTCTTGCAGGCCCTCGACCCCAAATTCGACGGTTATCTGGCCCAGTGGGCAAGCGGGCCCCTCAGCTGTGTTTCCGTCTTCCACAAGTATGTTTTTTTTGTTTCTTTTGTCATTGCTAACCCCAACGCTGACACACTTTTGCCCCAGATTCGTTGTCCTTGCTTCCGACCGCGATCTCGCCCACAAAGTATTCAAGTCGCCCCAGTATACCGAGCCATGCATTGTCCCCATTGCAAAGGACCTCCTGAGCCACAAGGCCTGGGTTTTCCTCACCGGCAAGGTCCATGTCGAGTTTCGTCGGGGACTGGCGCCTTTGTTTACCAGCAAGGCCCTGTCGACTTACCTGCCAGTCCAAGAAAAGGTGCTGGGCGAGTATTTCGACAGGTTTGTGGCCATCAGCGAAGCCAACAACGGCAAGCCAACGGCTTTCATGACGTCGTTTCGCGAAATCCAATGCGCCCTTTCTCTGCGCACCTTCTTCGGCGACTACATCTCCGAGGACGCTGTCAAGCGAATCGCCGACGACTTTTACAAGGTCACTGCTGCCATGGAGCTGGTCAATGTTCCCTTTTCCATGTACATCCCGTTTACCAAGCAATGGATCGGCAAGAAGGTGGCCGATGAGGTTCACGAGGAGTTTGCACGCGCTGCTGGTGCCTGCAAGAAGAACATGGCCACCGGTGCCGCCCCGATCTGCACCATTGACCATTGGGTCCTCAACATGCTCGAGTCCAACAGATACCGCGAAAGAATTGCCGCCGGGGAAGAAGGAGTGGAGAAGCCGGCGAACTTGATCCGCGAGTTCACCAACATGGAGATCTCGGAGACTCTGTTCACCTTCCTCTTCGCTTCACAGGATGCCTCGAGCAGCGCCACCACTTGGATGTTCCAGATTCTTGCTCAACGACCGGATGTGCTCGACAAGGTGCGGGAGGAAAACCTGGCTGCGCGCGGGGGTGACAGGACCAAGCCTTTTGACCTCGAAATGATCGAATCACTCACCTACACCAACGCGGTCGTCAAGGAGCTGCTCCGCTGGAGACCGCCCGTCATTTTTGTCCCCTACCTGGCTCTCAAGGACTTTCCGGTCACACCTGACTACACGGTTCCCAAGGGGTCCATGATCATCCCCTCGTGCTACCCGGCACTCCACGACCCAGCGGTGTACCCCAACCCCGAGTATTTTGACCCTGACAGGTGGATCACGGGCGATGCCGAGACGAAGACCAAGAACTGGTTGGTGTTTGGGGCTGGCCCTCACGACTGTCTTGCGAGGAGATATGTGCCCATGTCTTTTGCGGGCATGATTGGCAAGGCGTCGTTGGAGCTAGACTGGACGCACCATGCGACGCCTAGGTCCGAGGAGATCAAGGTGTTTGCCACCCTGTTCCCCATGGTAAGTGTTGCTATCCTGATGCTTATGTTGATACGATGCTGATTGTGCTAGGATGGTGCTCAACTTGTGTTCAAGAAGCGGAAATAGGATTAGGATGCAAGGGTTAGAGAACTTGGACAGGTGCACAGAGAAGAATAATAATGTAATACGGGGAGGAATATGACGCTCCCAGATCATGACAGGGTAGAATGGAGGGTATTTGCTATCGGGGACGCAGTATATAATCCGGGCCTCGAACCCGCACTTCCAATAGAACAGCATACAGCACGCGGGTCACTTCAACTTCGCAGTCTTGCAGTCGCTAGAGAATGGAAAATATCGAACGCGCACGACACGAGGGAGAATAAAAGGGGGGAGTGACACTCGAAATGCGGGTGGGATTGTCATGGTTGCTCAGCACTCATCCTCAAACTCGAAATTGCTACCACGGGTGGGTAGGAGAGGAGGAGGCAGAGTGGGGTCAACATTGGTCAGGGGTAAAAGTCACAGTTTTGGGTATGGGACGACGGCGTAGCTTGGGGGATAAATGGTTAGGCTGGGGCGGATTGGTGGGGATCGCTTCCCTCGAGCGCAGGAGGGATCAGATGTCACAGCTGAACTGTTTTTCGCCGCCATTTCAAGACATCTGATGGGATAACACTTAGGGGTCTCTTTAGCTGTTTCTTTTTCGGATTACAAAACGATATCATGCGAGCTTGTCGGAACTTGGCGCCATTTGCTGTGGGCTGGTGACGGTTCACAGCGGTTCAGCATGCCATATTGGCCCCCAACTATGGATAGGTGGGTTTAAGATCCACGTGTTTCTCTCACCGAAAGATGGATGGCGACCCGGAATGTCGGGTGGATTGGAGTGCCCGGCTGGAAGTATCTTATGCAATGAAGGTGAGCTGCTGGTAGTGTTTCATTGCTGTTCGCATGGGAAAAGCTCCCAACTTCCACACTGGCGGAATCCAGGGACGTGTGTTCCGTCGGTGGTCTACTGGACACAGTGCCACAGTGCGGAAAAGAACTGAGCTGTCGCAAAGCATCAAAATCACCCGACGTTGCACAGAATTTGGGGAGAGGGTCTTCATTTGGGGGCTTGAGTTCATTTTCACCGCTGAACGATCTACTACCTTGGTGCAGTGATGTGATGAAATGGCAGTTTTGATGTTGCTGAGGTTTTGGTGAGAGTGAGTGGTGAGTGAGTGAGTTTCTTGGCCTACACATTTCTGCACCAACCCTACCCACAGCGGATCCGATCCGGCCCCGCCCTGTCGCTTTCTGGAACGGTTCGAGAAACGGTCACAAGGACGTTCTTGGTTCACCACAGCACAGCTTCAAGCCCAGCCGCCTCAAGCCTCAACTCCAGCCTCGAAATATTGTTTCCTCACACCTTTTGACAATCTGATATCTCAGTTTAGCCCCTTTCTCCTGACTCGGCAAAACCCCCTTTTCTGATCCTTCAGATTGGCGGTCAAATTTCTGAAGCTACAGAGCACACCGTGCATGTTTCGTTCAGTAAACGGTACCCGCCTCACCTCACAACCCCCCCCTTTTTTGGGAGCAACAACAACAACAACAACAACCTCAAGAAAATGCTACGCACAATCTCAACGCTTTTCCTGGACCCCTCACCACCACTACCACCCGGCGTGGTGATCAACACCATCGATAATGTCCTTATTCCACTGTCAGAGGCGCATTTACACAGTCATTCTTACCGGTCAAGACTCACTTCCACGGATGACACCACTGAGGATACCCAAAAAGATGATGATGATAACGATGATGATGATAACGATGATGATGATTATGATGATGATGACCTAGAGGGTGGTGGTGGTCGTGATGAAGGAACAGGCATGTTACTCCGACGAAGCAGCTCTTCTGGGGAACTACTGGGCATGACGGCTGCTGAGAGGGAGTACACGATTGGGAGCTTGAGACGTGAGGTCAGGGCTGGTGGTGGGAAAAGGACGGCAGCTGGGAGGGGGGAATATGAGAGTGAGTGAACTTGAGAGGGGGGGAAAGTGAGAAGGTTGCTGAAGAAAAAGAAAAAAAAAGTGAAATCTAGGCTGGTGAACAAAGCTATACAGGACATCGGGATGGGGAGGTACAACTGGCAGTTGTTTGTGCTCTGTGGGTTTGGGTGGTTTGCTGATAAGTGAGTTCTTTACTACACATAAGATGATGAAACGGGAGAGTGCTGACGGGATGGTAGTTTATGGATGCAGGTATCTCACAACTGTTTCCGCCACTCCCGAAAGAGGTTAATACTGACACCTTCCAGGGGATCGCCCTCACCCTCCCCTCCCTCTCTGCCGAGTTTGGTGTTTCTGAAGCCGACATCCGGTACACCACCTCCTCCCTCTTCATCGGCCTCTGCCTAGGCAGCTTCGTCTGGGGGATTGGGTCCGACATCATCGGCCGCCGCATCGCCTTCAACGCCACGCTTCTCATCACCTCCCTCTTTGGCATCGCCTCGGCCTGGGCACCGACCTGGCCGGCCGTCTGCTTGACGTATGCGGCCCTCGGTTTCGGGGTAGGGGGTAACCTCCCTGTCGACGGCGCACTATTTCTCGAATTCCTCCCCGACGCCTCAAGCTCGCTGTTGACCCTGCTGTCGGTCTGGTGGCCAATAGGCCAGCTATTCTCCTCGATAGCCGCCTGGTTTTTTATTGCTCACTGGCCTGTCGACGAGGGGTGGCGGTGCTTTGTTTTTAGCATCGGGGTCATCACCTTTGGCATGTTTGTCACGAGATTCTTCATTTTCGACCTGTTGGAATCACCCAAGTTTTTGCTCTCTCAAGGGAGACAAGGGGAGGCGGTGAAGGTGGTGCATGGGATTGCGTTTCGGAATGGGAGGAAGACGTGGTTGACGGAGGAGCTTTTGGATGTTGTTGCTGATGACGGCCACCGCGGGTCAACCGGCCATCCTCACCAACCACACCGGCTGTCAACGCTCGCGATAGTCAGATCCCACCTCCTCTCCACCTCCCGTCTCAAACCATTGTTTGCAACCCGCCGCTTGGGCGCAACGACATGCCTGATCTGGCTCACCTGGGCGACGATAGGGATGGGATACCCGTTGTTTAATGCGTTTTTACCGCAGTATCTATCCCACTCTTCACCGGACTCATCATCATCATCATCAGTGTACACATCCATAATCCTCTACTCCCTCACCGGCATCCCGGGGTCTGTACTGGCTTACCACCTCGTTGACTCCCCTCTCCCGTTCCTCGGTGGACGGAAAGGGACACTGGCGACCTCAACGCTCGTGTCGGCGGTGGGTCTGTTCGCGTTTGTTCGGTGGGGGAGAAACGAGGTGTTAAGGGTGGTGTTTAGCTGCGTGGAGGCTTTTAGTCAGAATATCATGTATGGGGTGCTGTATGCGTACACCCCGGAGATATTCCCTGCGCCGGTGAGGGGGTCGGCGGTGGGGGTGGCTAGTTTTTTGAATAGGGTCATGGGCTTGCTGGCGCCGGTTGTGGCGGCGAGGATGGGGAGTGATGGAGAGAAAGGGAATGACGGGCCGGTGATGGTGGCGGGGGTTTTGATACTGGCTGCTTTTGGGGCCGTGGTTGGGTTGAGGGTTGAGACTAGGGGTGGTCAGAGGCTGTGATGGGGGGGAAAACATATAAAGGATGACGGGGTGGCATGACATGAGAGCAACTTGATATAGAAATTGCATGGTTTGGAATGTTCAAAAATGAAGGCAGGTTTTTTTTTCTTTCCCTTTTGGTTTGATTCCATGACCACTTGTGTAATCCCAAACAAATGATCTGCAAAACCAACCAGCTCTACGCAGCATCACACTTTCTTCCCCTTCCCATCATCCACCCGTTGCTGCTGCCTCCCACTGTCAGTCTCCCGTAGCACCGCCGGAGGTGGCTGCGTGATAATTACCTCCTCCGCAACATCATACGCACGATCAGTGCTGCTACTCCCCCTTTCCCTTTCCCTTTCCCTTTTCCTTTCTCTGTGCCCCCTTTCCTCCTCATCCTCACTCCCACCGTCAGAACCCCTCCCCTCCTTATCCACCTCCCCATCCTCCCCATCAGGCCCAACCCTCCTAGTATCAATCTCATCATCCACCCCCTCAACCCAACTCCTCTCCTCCCTCACCACCACCTCCCTCCCATCCAACTCCATCAGCCCAATCTGTGTACTGCTCCCCTCCCCAATCTCCCTCACCTCCCCTTCCCCACCCAGCTCCACCGCCGCCGCCGCCGCCGCCTTCTCCTTATGATTCTCATACGGCGGCGGCGCCTCCCCAAGTTCATTCAACCCCTCCTCTCTCATCGCCGGAGGAGGCCAAGCCCACCTTGCTGCCTCCCGTCCGGGAATCACCCACCCTGATTCAAGATCCCGGATCGTAACCTGGGTTGAGTCTGGGGGGCCGGGACGACGTGGGTGGTTAAGTAGCAGGGTTGTGGCTGCTTGTTTGCGGGCGGCGCGGCGGCGGCGGGAGTTGTGGAGGCAGGCTGCTAGGAGGCCTAGGGTTGAGAGGAGGGCTACTGGGATTAGGACCCATGCCCTGGGAGAGTTAGCAACCATGAGGGTAATATAAAAAAAAAGGGGGGGGGGGGGGGGGGAAA